ATCCTGTCATCCCAGTTACCTTTGGCATGTTGTCCAGAACTGCAGATCAATATAGTACAGGAATCCAACAGGCGGCAATCCCGCCTCCTTACCAAGACCAAGTCAGGGCTGCCACCTTAGCTTCCTGGGCAAAGCTCGCAGAGGGCCCCATGGAGCCCCCAATTGCTGGAATAACCCAGAGGCCCAATGAAGACCTCCCTTCCTTTATTGTTAGGGTAGAGCAAAATACACAAAGAAAATTTCCCCCCGGCCCACTCAGAGATCAGTTTGTTAAGATGCTTGTATGGGATGGAATGGCCACTGATCATAAGAGACTGATCCGTGGAGAAGTGGGTTATCACTTCCAAGGAGGTAGGGAGTCAACATTTTTAAGCCAGGACTTTATCCACAGCCTTGCAGGCTGAGACACAAAACTTAACCGAAGCCTTCAAGGCATTTACCGCCCTGATCCCCTCGGGAAACAATACTTCCCCACCCTTCAAGGGACAATGTTTTGGTTGTGGAATACAAGGTCATTTTAAAAGCCAATGTCCCAAGGCTAAAGGCAAAAAACCCCTACCACACGTTGCCCCTAATGTAAAAAAGGATTACATTGGAAAAAGGACTGTAGGTCCAAATTTGACAAAGATGGCAATCCTTTAAACTAAGCCAGGGGCAGCCCCTAGCCCCGTTACCCCAAGGGGGTCATAAAAGTAACCAGGTAAAAGGGCCCAGGGATAATTGGACAGTCCCTATAGCCCCCGGAGTAAGGCCAAAAATGAACATCACCATCGAGGGTAAAAGGTTCCGATGCTTAACTGATGCAGGGGCAGATTGAACTGTCCTCCACCAAGAGAAAGTGCCTCCTAGCTGGGATGTTGTCCCTGGGCCTCAAATCCTTGGGGTAGGAGGTGAAACACCATCTTTTGAAACAAAAGGATGGTTAAAATGGAGATGCAGATGGCACCACTGGGGAGGTGAAGTCCCTCATTGCTTCCATACTTAATGCTAATCTTTTAGGACGAGATGTCCTTGGCCAGGCAGGTGCTTACATCACCACTGATCATAAGGGCTTTTATGATGAGCTTTTAGATAAGGAAGAATACCAACAACAGTTCAACACCCGCTGTCACCCTAATTACAAAATGCGAGCTCAACAACCCCTATGGCAAACTGATGTCACTCATTTTCCAGCATTTGGAAAATTAAAATATATTTTCATGTCTATTGACACTTATTCTCATGCTTGTTGGGCTACAGCCCACACTGGAGAAAAGGCTAAACATGCACAAAGTCATTTACTACGATGTTTTGCCACACTCAGCCTCCCCAGTCAACTTAAAACAGATAATGGCCCTTCCTTTGTTAGCAAAGCCTTCCAAGATTTTTTATACACTTGGAACATACGCCCCTCCACTGGCATCCCTTACAGTCCTCAGGGACAAGCCATAATAGAACGTCACCATCAGAATCTAAAGAACCAACTTTTAAAACAAAAAGGGGGAATTATAAGCCCCCACCAACAGTTAGGAATGGCATTATTTACCTTAAATATTTTAATTTTCCAAAACATGAGCCAATAGCTGCTTTCCAAAAACACTGGTCAACACAATCCCCACGTCCTGCCGTTCAGGTGCGGTGGAAAGATCCCCTTTCAGGACAATGGAGAGGCCCTGACCTGCTCTTAACTATGGGCAGAGGATTTGGATGTATTTTTCCTTTCAACGAGCCCAACCCTATATGGGTGCCAGCCAGAAATCTCAAGTTCTCACCCACTGCCCAGGGCAATAACGACCCCGAAGAAAACCTTTCTTAAGTTTTCCAGGAAAGTCCACAATGAAGCAAGCTTATCTTCTGCTTGGGGTCTTCTCCATGATTGGTGAAGCAAGTCCACCCTCTTCTCCACACACTCCGGCTAACCAAACATGAACAGAAGGGGCTGCTGTTTCTGCAACAAGGAGGGTTATGTGCAGCCCTCAAAGAAGAATGTTGTTTTTACACAGACCATTCTGGTGTTGTTAAAGATTCTTTAGCTAAATTAAGAGAAGGATTAGAAAAACGTAGGAGGGAAAGAGAGGCCAATTCCGGCTGGTTTGAAGGCTGGTTTAGAACTTCCCCTTGGCTCACCTCTCTAATATCTGCCTTAACAGGCCCTCTGTGCACGTGGGGTCGGCTAACAGCTCTTATAAGGTGCACCCTAGGGTCCCTCACCATGTCCACCCAGGTGGTGGAAAAGATAGCTAATGAACAACACCCCCAAGACCCTTGGGTCAATTTGGCCCTTCAAAAAAATTAACACCAAGGTATAATCTCCTGTTTGGCCTCAGCTTGGTTGGATAGTCAATGATGGGTAAGATCCCCCACGGGGGAAGGGGAGACAACCTAAGACAGGCACAACCACACAAGCCTTCTATTAAAACAAAAAGGGGGAACTATGAGACTGTGCCCTTTTTCTAAGCAAAAACAACAGATGGCCTAAATGGATAAAAGGTGGCGCCCAAGGGAAGTTAAGGGGGAGGGCTAAGCATAGAGAGGCAAGCCATGTGCACATTTGATCTTTTCAAGGATTGGCCTAAGCTTGGAAATCCCTGCCTGCTAAGCATATAAATATGACCTTTTGTGTAACCCCCGCTGTGTGTGTATGTGTTTGTTCCCTATCTGGGAGAGCAGTGGCATACTCACCCATCTCTTAGAATCTCTTTTTGCCCCATGTCCTGGGGGGGAGAAAAGGGCAATCCCTTTGGCCCCAACCCTCTAGGGAAAGGAAAAATCTGTTGGGGTCCCGTGCGGATGCCAGAGATGCCCAACAACCTTGAACTTCCTAGCCTCCAAAACTGTAAGCAATAAATTTCATTTTCTTTATAAATCACCTAGTTTCAGGTATTTTGTTATAAACAACAGAAACAGACTAATACATGCTCCATCAATAAATGCCTGTCTCACATTGTTTCTAGGGAACCCAAATTCAGGCCTCTGGTGTCAATGCTCTGCCATCATTTTCCCAAATCACTTTCTCATTCATTTCTGGGAACTATTCAGATCCATGCTCAGCTGTGTGTGCCACAGGACCTAAAGTGGGTTGAGGGTGTGTGAAGGCCCTAGATCAGGAACCAGTAGGCTCTTTTGAAGTAATTATAAGAAATACCTACTACATAGGGTTGTTATGAGGGTTTTAAAAGCTAAATGAGTTAAAGTGTGTAAAATACTTTTACATAAGACCAGTTCCTGACATGTAGTAAATGCTCTTAAGTATTAGGGAAGAAATTTATTTTATCTTTTTTGTTTCCTTATGTACTCCAAGTGTGCCTAGGTGAGTGCTTGGCACATAGTAGGCACTCGATAAATATCTGTTCGGTGAATGATTATTGAAGTTTTGCTTTTAGGGTTCAAGGTAATGTGCTGGGATTTGGCCAGCAGAGGGCAGAACCAGTGCAGTCAAAGATCCTATGGACTGAGTGAGAGAATGGGATAGAGCTTCCAAACAATCTGGCTGGGGTAAAGCAGGTGGAGGGCTGAGAGGAGTGCTTCCATCACAGAATATTAGAATGTTTAAATTACACCCCCTTAAAATCCTAGAATTTGATTTAGTTTAACCGTGGGTGTGTGTAATGAGATATACTAAGTTCCTACTTTGTGAATTCAAATAAGTAGTTCCAGGCCCAGAGATCCCTGGAGTTGCCCCGGTGTCTGTAACTCCTCTTTTGAATTTGTGAGCTACCCCATAATGCTCATAAATCTCCTCGTATACTTATGGAAATATGCGCTGGGTTTCTGAAACTTGCAAGCAAAATAACTTTTTTTTTTTTTTTTACTATTTTACTATTTACTTATTCTACTATTAAGCCCTGTGAGAGTGAGAGCTATGTGAAGGGGAGCTTCCTCCACAGATGGGGACACTGAAGTCACACAGCAACCACACTGGGCCTGGTTTCTGTTCCATCTCCTCAACCAACCTGCTGTCTCCAGCAGGGGGTTCCCACATTTCTGCCTCCAAAGGTCTCTAAAGTCCTATCAGCTGCAGACTTCTGAATCTGTTGTCTTCCCACACGTCACATCTCCTTAAGGAGGTCTCCACCTTCTCCCTCCAAAAGAGATGAGGAAGGGCTTGAGCATCCGTGGAGCTCAGCATAGATCTGCAGGGAGTCAACATAACTGCTCAGGGGATCAGATGTGTTCTGTGATCCTCTGTTTAAGAAACACATGGGCATTTATTTTTATTTTTTATAAGTGGAAGTAGATTTTTTTTCCCTTTATATAAAGACATACATATGGTCAAATAAGACAAATATTACATAAATTTATGAAGTGGAAAGGGAAAATCACCCATAATCCTATTCCTTGGAGATAACTGCCATCAAAATATTATTTCGGAGTTTTGCTATACACAAATGCATATTTCAGTGGGGCCTTCTATGGACCACATGGATATCCCTTAAATTGAACTTGTAAAAACAGAACAGCCTGAGACTTGGGGCATATAGCTTTGAACCATATGAAACTACTGTACTGATATTCAGCTGTTTGGGGCCTACAAACAGCAATTTCATATGGCTCAAACTAATGTATGTGAAGCCTAGAATATCAGAACTGATAGAGCTCTTAGAGACTTCTAAATCTATTTCATTGTGCTGAAGAGGAAAAAGGACCAAAGAGAGAGGTGTCCAGCCTGAGGTCATATACCACTTCAGTGGTAAAATCAGGGCTGGTTTTCTTTCCACTGAACCATGTACCTGCCTTTCACACTCAGCTTCTTTTAATATATAATCTTCTAGGTATGATAATCATCTTCTAGAAGCAGGTTTCAACCTGGTACCAGAAAATTTCTCACAGAACTCAATCAAAATGGAAGAGGCTGCTTTAGAGGTAGTGAAGTCCCCATGACTGGAGATGGGGTTGGGAAGGGCCCTGCAACACAGCTCAAAAGGCACGTGAACGACGACAAAGTTAATGAGGCAGAACACTCAGGACCCTGCACTTGCACAGGCTCCTTCTTAGGGTCCTAGGAGGCACCTAGCAACATATTAACTGAGTGGTATATTTTTGTAATATCTGCAAAAGTCAGATGTTTTTTAACTCTTTTTCTTAAAGAGAGTGCTCAGAATTGTATAAGCTTCAGGCCTGGATCAACTCCTGTGTGGCACAGGGTTTTGAAAAGCACTAGGCAAGGTGACCAGAGTTTCTGGGTTCCAATCATGTCACTGCTGTGGCCCAGATGGCCAGCAGGGCACATGCTCTGCTTTCCTCATGGGGGGGGGAGGGTGTGAAATCAAAATGTTAAATGTGTTGAAAAACATAAAATGTGAACAAAAAAATAAGTAATATCACTCAGATTTCCTGTGATTTCCTTCTCATGGTTGTTGAAGCTATTTTAAAAATGTATCCCCAGGGCATCTTCCTGTTTCATTTCCCTGTGATTCAACTTCCTCTTCTCCTTCCTCTAACCCCCAGGGCCTCAATCCTCCAGCCACTTTCCTCTCTTCTTCTTGACCATCACATTCATTGGTCACTATCCTTGGTCATTGGTCATTATTTTTTGCTTCTTCTATATGTTTGTTCATGGGCTCCCACTGTTTATAAAGTATATCTTTGCCTGGAAAAAATTCTTATCCACAAGGCCCAGATCTGCCAGCCCCTCTCCTCCCACCACAATGATGACCTCTCTTAGCTCTGTTTCTTTTTGATCTTACAGACAGGGACACTGAAGCCTGATGTGGTCCATAGCTGAGTTTTGGAGGCCCTGGAAGACAATCCTCAGGTGTCTTGATCTTCTGCCTCGTGTTACAGCATAGACACACGGTTCTTGATGTATACGTGATAGGGGTCACTACGCTTGTCCACTTTGTGGGAGCGAGTGTATCCCAGGATGAGGCTGCCCACAGTGACAGCAAATAGGAACATGACAAAGAGAACGTACATGTAGGAGTTGTCATCACGGCCGGGTAGGCTGGCCCGGTGCTCCTCAGTCCAGTTGTCTGGTCCTGGCCCTGGCCTGCAGAGCAATTTGCCGTGAAGAGTGGCATTTAGAGCCTTCAGCACAGCGTGCAAGCTCTCATACCAGGTCTCAGTCCCATTGGTGGTCTCCATAGCAACAGGGATTGAGGTGTGGGAACAATCAGAGAACGCTCTGATGCTAAGAGAAAAGAAAGGGGATGACTTTTGTTATCTGCAGCTTTAATGACCTCCGCATTCCTCAGACCCCATCTGAGTCCTAGCATCATAGTTTACTCTGAACTACTTAATTTCTTGTCTATCTTCTCCACTAGACACAAGCTCAATGAAGGCCGGGCCTAAGTCTGTTTTACTCACTGCTATATGTGAGCACTTCTGACTCTATGAATGCAGAAGTTGTGGGGAAGAATCTAAATAATAGAGCAATCATCCAGGACTGGCCCATATTTCAATAGGTGCTCAACAAATACTTGTGGAAGAAAGCCTTCCCTGACCACAGTAACCCGTGTTAATCTTTCCTTTCTTTAGATTCTATAAATCACTGAACTTTAAGTTAGAAGGACCTTAGGAATTATTTAATCTAACTCCTCCCTTTTTGTACACAGGGAAACTGAGGCTCAGTGAGAATAAGTAGCTGTCCATGATCACAGAGAATATTTGAGGTAGAGCCAAGATAGAAAGCCCTGCTCTTCAGTGGTCAGCTCAGAGCTCCTCTGCTTCTCTGCCATCTCTCAGCAAGACTGTCCAGCACCATTAGAAGACGTTCATCAGAACTCTCCCTCAGCACAGTTATTTTTTTATACTCCACAGACACTATTTAAAAGATGTTTGGGGATGGCTTAAATTTCACTCTACCTGGAGGCCAGAAGCTGGATCGTTTGACCTCTCAAGAACTCTAGGTATTCCTTGCTATATGGGGACATTCTCTTGGAGGGGGTGGGGTGCTGCAGGGAGAGGTTGATTGGAGAAGAGAAGAGCAGGGTGGGCCTGAGGGTGGGGAGGTGAAAGGAGTGCTCAGTCTGGTTGGGAGTTTACCTGCCCCAGAGAGAGAAGACATAAGCATCTCGACTATCCCGCCTTCCAAAAGTAACTGTGTACGTGGCATATAATAGGTGATAATAAATGCTCCTTTTTCTTCTTCTCAGGGATCCTTAGTCTATGAAGGGTCTTCAAAAAGCTCATGAAAAGATTCCTATTATTTTGAATTCTATTTTTCCATGAACTTTTTGAAGTACCCTCATATAATATAGAAAAACATCCTAAGACAGCCTTGCATCCTTGTCTCTGAAGAACCATATGTCATTCCCTTTAAACAAGGCTCCATACTCACTTCCCTCAGGAAGCCTCCATCCAGCAATCCCCACCCCTCAACTACACTCCACAGGCTTTATCATCGCAGCCTTCCCTTCCCCCCAGCACTTACATATAAGGCAATGTGTGGCTGTCCTCCTGCTTTTGATAAAGGTAGCATCAGACAAACATCTTGACTCCTAGTCATCAGGGTTATGTCTCTCCCCCGTCTATGGGACTACCTTGAGAATGGTTAGGTGCTCTTTTTTCCTAGGAGACTGCCCTAAGATTGGCTGGAGGGAACAAGAAATGAGGCAGGGAGCCCAGTTACAGTGGTCTTGAAATAGTTATGGTGCAAGATGCTGAGTCCTGAGCTGAGACATAGGGGACGACAAAGTGCGGGCAGGGACAGATGTGAGATGTGAGAGGAGTTTTGGGGAGGGAATAGCTACAGCGAGAGCTGAAGGATGAAGTGGCCTCAGACAATGTTACAGGTAGACGACAGTGTAAGTGTCAGGAGGAGCCCACTCTGAGGGAAATAGCTACTTTTCCTGTTTGGACTTCAGTTTCCCTACCTATCGAAAAATATGATAATTGGGAGTTGTATAACAGTATAGAATTTCAGTTTTCCAAGGTAAAAAAGTTCTAGAGGTCTGCTGTACAACAGTGTGAATATTGCTAACTCTACTGAGCTGTGCACTTAAAAATGGTTAAGATGGTAATTTTTGTGTATTTTTTTACCATAATTAAAACAAACAAAAAAGATTGTCATTTCTGCCCTGCCTCCCTCAAGGCTTGCTGTGAGCATACACTTTTATTATGTTAAAGAGGATTTTTAAAACATATCTGTTTTTCATTTTTGAGAAGCAAATATGTATACCCATTAAAAAATAAAAGCAGTATATACAATGGAGATGAAATGTCCCTGTTCCTAGTCATCCAGGGCTCCTTCCCAGGGCAGTCACTGTTACCAGTTTTCTTAGATATCCTTAGAAATGGGTTTTAACTAACAGGGTAGAGGAAGGGCAATCTCAATCTGGAAAACTCACCAAACAGCAGGCAAATTCGCTGGCTCTGAGTTGGCTTCAGGAATCTTCTTGTAGATGCCTTAAAGCTCCTCAGCCCCTCAACCTCCTCAGGATGTCTCTGGACACATCTGGAGTCTCAGTATTGACTTGGGGAGCTGGGAAAGTCCAGAGCCAGAAAGAAAGGGAGGAGGCAGAAAGGGAAGGAACCAGACACACAGAAAAACTTCAAAACCAGGGTGGATCGCCCCAGGCTGGGCCCCAAGGCTTGTGCAACAGTCTTGCCCCCTCCTTAGTCCCCTCTGCTTTCTGTAGCAGCTGGGTCAGGCCAGCTGAGGGTTGCAGTTACAGGAACTGTGTAGTGGCCAAGGGGCATCTGAGTGTTGTCCCCCAACTCCAGGCTTAGGATGTCTTAATTGGGTGACTTCATGAGAAACCTCAACTTAACATGTGGACCCCTGTTCAGGAGCCAGCTAATAAAGGTGCAGCCTAAAACATTCCCTTTCCCAAGCGTACTGGTACCTTAGCAGAAGCCTTTTAGAATCCCAAGGGAATGATGTGAGTGGTAGCATGGCAGTTGGCAGTTGGGTTGGTATTTCATACAGGAACAAATGATGTGTTACCACTCAATCTATTTGGATAGACAGAGTGTAAACATGGTCACAGAATTACCACTGTCCATAGCACATCTTTGTTGTGAAAATTAAAGAATATATTTGGATAGACAGAGTATAAACATGGTCACAGAATTACCACTGTCCATAGCACATCTTTGTTGTGAAAATTAAAGAATATCACACAGTGCTTTGCAGAGCTGATGCTGGAAGGGCCTGCAGAGTCCATCTAGTCTAAACACCCTCACTTTACAGTGAAGGAAATGGACAGCCAGGGAGCTGTCTTGGTTCAGCAGCTACTTGTGTGGCTTTGGGCATGTGACTTCCCTTTTCTGGGCCTCAGCTTCTGTCTCATCTGTAAAATGAAGGGATCCTGGTCAGCCCTAACATACCATGATGGTACAAATCACACAACCACACTGTGAGATCATGGGAGATCAGATAGGCTGGTGGGAGAATCATTTGAGGAGCTTTCCAGAGCCCCTCGAATCCCAAGATAGAGAGGACTGCAGACTTCTTCCTCACAGGTGAAGATGCTTCTGAGCCTGGGACTGACCGATACCTAATATTCCTGCCTAGATAAACTGAGTGCCGAATTGGCTGACTTGTTCATATTTCCTCTTGACGCTCACCAGCCAGGGTGATCTAGCCTGGGGAGGAGATGGACCCTGTGCAGAAGGGGGTGATGTCAGGGACAGAGTGGGCTCTGAGGAGGGGTTCAGTGAGGGGAGTGAAGATTCATGAAACCTTTCATCCTTTAGGCCCTCCCACCAGGGCCACTCTGGATAGACCAGGATGTTTGTGGTTCTTTTTTTTTTTTTTTTTGTCCTTTTTGAGACCGGCCGCACCGCGCTCAGCCAGTGAGTGCTGTGAGCACACCGGTCATCCCTATACAGGATCCAAACCCGCGGCAGGAGTGCTGCTGCGCTCCCAGCGCCGCACTCTCCCGAGTGCGCCACGGGCTCGGCCCTGTTTATGGTTCTGATAGGAGAAAAAAGGCCATAGTTACACATCTTTGGGTGCTAGGTTTGGGTGGGAGTGAGGGCCTGGGTGCAAGGGCATCCTGTTTGGGTTGGGAGAAAGCTGATGAAGGACAGGTTGGTTCTCTATGACCTGTATGAGAGTACCAAGTTGGGGATTGGCAGTCAGGAACATTAGGCATTTTGCACCTGTTTCTGAGCTCCTTGGCTTCCCTCTCCAGGAGAGTTACTGATTACAAAGCTCCTCGGATAGGGGAGCAGAGCTCCTGCCCTGGGATAGGCCTTAGCTTGAAACAGGTGATAGACCAGTTAGGAAGGAAGATGAACAGTTACTGAGCAAGCTGAAAGAGACTTTAAAGATAATCTACAATCTACATTCTAGGTCAGCTCCTCCATTTTGTAGATGGGGAAACTGAAGCTCAGAAAGAGGAAGTGACTAGTCCAAAATGACATGACTAGTAAGTGGCAGAGCTCAGACGAGAACCCAGGCCTTTGGGGTGCTGTTCGGGTGCTCTTTCCACTACAGATGGCAGTGTTCCCTAGCACTAGAGCTGCATATTGCACCAACACAGGCTCCTTGTGTCAGGGGTGCCATCTGCTCTAACTTCAATACTACTGCCTTTTCCTGCATTGCACGTTCTCATCAACCTTAGTCAGCATCCAGCCCAGGGAAAGTAAGTTTTGGAGTAGGAGCTAGCCTGCCTTCATAGTCTTGTCTCCCCGGGCCCCTTCTGCCCCAGGTCTGCTCCTGATTCCCCAGACGCGCCAGGCTCATCCTCTTTCTCCACACTCTGTTCCTGCTATTTCCCTCACATTAACAGATTCTCACTAAATGTACTTGACTTGAACTTGCCCAGCCTCTGACTTGGGGGTTGGGGCATAAAGCTGTGATCTGAAGGATGAACTGGATCTCTTAGTAAGATTTACTTTCAGGGAAAAAGTGAAACTCCACCACTGGTTCTTCTTAGTTTCCCCATTGCTCTGTTTCAGCTACTCTTTCAGAATGAAAAGTGCCTGGAAATGAGGTACAGAGAGGCAGGTAGAAAAAGTCACACAAAGCAGATAGGGGGTCCAAAGACAACTCTTGGGATGCACAATTTTGCCACTGTCCCCCCACCTTCCACCCGCGGGTGATCTTATCACTACTGTGGACTGGAGAGCTGGGGGAGTGGGAGAGGAGTTGAAGGAGTGAGCCTTAACATCTAGTTGGAAGGAGACGCAGGAATAGAATCTGAGCTGGAAGGGGTCTCAATGATCATGTTATTGGTGCAAACTCCTCATTCAACCAGTGGGAAGATAGAGTTCTCCCCCAAGTAGATCACTTGCTGGAGGTCTCACAGCCCAGTAGTGGCAGAGGTGGGGCCGGAAACCAGGTATCCTGACTACCCTTCCACAGATCTTTTATTTTTATTTTTATTTTGTCAATATACAATGTAGTTAGTTATTGTGTCCCATCACCAAAACTCTCCCCCCTCCCACCCAGATGTGTCCCCTCCATTTTCTCGTTGTAAGAGCTTCAAAAAAAAAAAAAAAAAAAAAGTTGGGGTTGTTAAATCTTCCTCCCCCCCCCCCCCCCCCCGGCGCTTTTTTTTTTTTTTTTTTTTTTTTTTTTTTTTT